TATTTTTTTATAGAGAGAAAGAGAGAAAGAGAGGGAGAGAGAGAGAGAGAGAGAGAGAGAGAGAGAATATTACTATCATAAAACACCCACAACAACAATCGAAAACTTACTCCATTATCAGCATTTGGAAAATCATCTTTGATGGCAAATTTTGGTTTCTTATCCGGACGTTCTTGAGGATAAACATTACGTGTTCGATTTTTATTAGGTTTACGTTTCATTTTGGGCATTTTTGAACAAACGGGATAAATTTCACAATCAAATTGAACAAATAGAAAACGTAAAATAAAAACTTGATTTTATTCAATTTGTTGAATGATCAAATCGTTTCGGCTAATCAGCTCTCCAAAATCACGTTATCTTATCACCCAAAAAAGTAAATATATGTACACACGGATCACATGCTTTCTGCAAATATCAACTAATACCATCTATGAGAAAAATTTCGAAACAAACAATGTAAATTTTCAATAAAAGATGGCGTTAAATTTTTTTTATAGCAAGGAATTTGATAACCCGTTGGTGATTCACAATGGTGTTATCTTGTTTTTGCATTTTTTAATAGGAATTTCAAACGGTTAATCAAATGAACCTATTTATGATATGGTTATAAATAATGAACTAAAGTTAAGTTAAGTTTTAATACAAAGTTGTTTTTCAAACTGATTATTATAGATTTTTATGGCCATAATTTCCGTTCACATTTTTTTTTTAGATAATAATATTCCTTGGTTCATGTTTAATGCTGTCGATAATAATTTTGGTGGTAGCCAAGTTACCAAATGATGGTCATTGGTGATGATAAAAATATCAGTTATTATTATGACTTTTAAAAACTTTTTAATGATCATTATTGATGAAAAAGTTTTTCTTCTGCTGGATATAGAGAGAGATTACAAACATGCAAAACCAAATGGACAAAAGTTAATGTCGAAAAANTGAAATATTGCATTTGAAATATTTCATTCACATTGCTGCTAGTGTGAAACCCCTATAATACAAATAGGACCAATATGTATACAAATCGGTTTATGATTCGTTGTTAAACGTTGTGTATATGTTTGTAATTTAAGATAAAAACGTAATGTCATTGATGATGGTAAATATTTTTGATTTTGATTTTTCAATACTAATAATGAATATAATTGTTGATGCATTCGAAATATATTTGAATGTAAACGTATTGGTAACCAACCAACAACAATCGGTACCAAAAGTGTTATATTAAAAACATAAATTATAATTAAAGCAATATTTGGTAATGAAAATTGTGAATAATGAAATAATAATAGATCTAACATTATAATATGAATTGGAAATAAAAATAATGATGAATAACCAAACAGAAAACTAAGACGTTTATTTGTATCCATTATCCATATGATCATTGAATTATGATTATGCAGAAATGAATGTAATAACAATCTACATGATTTTGTTGATATAAAATTGATATTACGACGTTGTTGAATTCTATTCAATAATTTATTCCAATAATTAAAACGATAATGAAAATATGTTAATTCAATCATATAGAAAAATGCTATACAATTACTTGATGATATAATTGCACGTACGGTTATTGTTTCAATAGTTAAAAACATTGAATCAATCATTATGATTAGAATATTTGATTGTGGAAATACATACAATAAATACATAAATGCCAGAAAATATGCTAAAAATACTGATCCTAGTATTTCAATTGGAAAAATCAAAACAATGTTCAATCAGTGTTAAATTTACAACAACAACAACAACATACCATAGATAATCGGACCATAATACATAAACAATTCACCAATATGTTTAATTTTATTTAAATTTTTCATTGTTATTGGATCACAATGTTTAAGAATTAGACAATTATCTTTGTTTGGAATGTTAACAACTTCACTGATCAATTGATTACCCATATTACTGAATGACATTTTATAACGAACAAACAAAATAAATAAACCGAAAATAAATATTAAAACATGACATGAAAACATTGTTGTACCAAATATTGGATCAAAACCAATACGAAATGTAAATGTTTCATGTATGAATTGCATTAAATAAAAATCATTTTGTTTATTGAATAATAACATAAATGTACTAATTGAAAGTTGATAGAAAATAATTATTGAACGTAATAAAAATTCATAATGATAATCATTTGATTTTCTATCAATAATCATTTCATTCATTGTTTGTTGAAATGATTCCGGTGTAAATGAACCAAACCAATGGCCAATTCGTATTAATAAGGAAAATTTGGAATTTTTGTTCGCCATTTTTTTTAATTCTTATTTTTGTATGTTTGTTAGTTTGTCAAAACGTTGCTATTTGATTTGAATGAATATCGTTGAATGAATTTGGGGAGAGAAACCAAAAAAATGGCAAAATAAAATTGTCCAAAATAAATCAACTGAAAACCGAATATCATTTTGATCGATGATCGATATTGATCATCAATCAAAAATTGTACATTTAGAAAAATAGAATTTTCGATTCATTTGAGCAACTTTATAGATAAAAATGAAAATAAAAATGTTTTTTTTTGTGCAAAAAAGAAAAACAATTCAAATCAATATTTGAAAATCAATATTTTTTTTATTATAAATTTTTTATTATTTTCATCCAAAATTTTTAAAAAAGAAAACTTTATATTATAAATCATTTCATTTCAATTCATTATCATATCATTCGATTCGTTTGATATAAAATCAGTACCATCACGATTTTTTGAACGAAATAATTCACGACGAATTTCCGGTGTTATTGAATGATGAGTTTGTATACGTAATAGTTCTAATAATGATTCTTTTTGTTCGCTTGAAAGATCATTTTTATAGTTTTGTACAAATGCCAATAAACATTGATGCCATAAAACTGGTAATGTTGAACGACGATCATTTAAAAATCGATAAAAATGATAAAATAATGCATCGATCACTCGATAAGGAAGTGCATATTTTTTCTGTATTAATATATTTAAAAATATTGAATTTGCACCACTATAATCCATTTCAGCAATTTTTAACATTGCAGCACATGAATGCAGCAATGGTATATGATTACGTGCCATAATTGAACCAATTATAACTGCTTCACGTAATGTACAATCACCTGATTCACATAATGGTATAATGATACCTTTGAAAAATGCACCCGGTTTGAATAAAGCTTTTTTCAATGATTGATACAGGTGAAAATTTAGTCGTTTATATTCTTCAATATCATCACGTATACGTGGCATCAATACAAGATTGAAAAAACGTTGTGCCATACGTTCTTTTAGATTTGATGCAAACAAACGTGTAGCCTGAAACATAGCCGCAGCTGTCCAACAATCCGGTTCAGTAATAAATAATATCTGTTCCCAATTGGCTAATGCAGGTATTATTTTAAATGCTTTTGGTAATCGTCCATTACGATAACGTTGTAAAACTACTTTAACACCACGATACAGTTCCACTACACGACTATCCAATTCGGAACCATTCATACCGGATTGTCCAGCTTGTTCATCATTAAGCATCGTACTTAATTCATCTTCTTTTTCTTTCAATTTATCACGAATATAATCAGCCAAAGATTTTCGTTTAAGATTATCTTTGGCCATAAACATTTCTAATGCTCGTTCATCTTCTTTGTTTAATTTTAATTCTTCATAAAATGATTCGTATACACCACGAGCCGATTCTTCATCTTCATCTAACAAATCATAATCATCATGATCACCATCATCAGCTTCACGATCGGAAAAATTTCCAGACAAATCTAATTTTTTGTTATCTTGGTTTCCAATCACTTTGGATGGTTCATGAAGACCAAATTCTTCTTCCAGTTCATTTTGTTGAAGCTGTGCTTGTTCAAGAATTTTTCTCGATGTTTTCGAATCAATGAACTAAAGTAAACAAACACAGAGAGAGAATATTACTATCGTTAAAACACCCACAACAACAATCGAAAACTTACTCCATTATCAGCAGTTTGAAAATCATCTTTGATGGCAAATTTTGGTTTTTTATCCGGACGTTCTTGTGGATAAACGGTGCGTGTTCGATTTTTATTAGGTTTACGTTTCATTTTGGGCATTTTTAAGCAAACGGGATAAATTTCACAATCACATTCAATAAATAGAAAACGTAAAATAAAAATTTGATTTATTCAATGTTTTATTCCAATGATCAAATCGATTTGCTAATCAGCTCTCCAAAATCACGTTATCTTATCGCCATTAAGTAAATATACACACGGATCACATGCTTTCTGCAAATGTCAACTAATACCATCTATGAGAAAAATTTCAAAACAAACAGTGTAAATTTTCAATAAAAGATGGCGTTAAAAAAATTTTTAATAGCAAAAAATAATTATAATTTGATAACCCGTTAGTGATTCACAATGGTGTTATCTTGTTTTTGTTTTTTGCATTTTTTAATGGAAATTTCAAATGTAATGAACCTATTTATGATATGGTTATAAATAATAAACTAAAGTTAAGTTAAGTTAAGTTGTTATTATAGATTTTTATGGCCATAATTTCCGTTCACATTTTTTTTTTAGATAATAATATTCCTTGGTTCATGTTTAATGCTGTCGATAATAATTTTGGTGGTAGCCAAGTTACCAAATGATGGTCATTGGTGATGATAAAAATATCAGTTATTATTATGACTTTTAAAAACTTTTTAATGATCATTATTGATGAAAAAGTTTTTCTTCTGCTGGATATAGAGAGAGATTACAAACATGCAAAAACCAAATGGACAAAAGTTAATGTCGAAAAACTTGAAGAAAAAAAAATAGTTGTTAAAACGAGTGCATAATCAAGTTGATAATTACAAAATGACAATGTCTGTTCGATTGGAAAATGATCAGCAAACTGTATCGACAATGGTTGATCAAAGAAGAAATTCCAAAAGAACAACAACAACAACTGAAAATCGAACAAGTTATTTATCAACATTAATGCATATGCTTAATGGTTTTATTGGTTCAGGAATTTTATCGATGCCAATTACATTTAAAAATGGCGGTTTAATTGTTGCTATGGTTATGAATCCAATGATTGGTATTTTATCTTGTCATTGTATTCATATGTTGATTCAGATTAATGAATTAGCAATGAAAATTAAGGATCGAACAATACCTTTGGATTATCATGAGGTTTGTGTTGAAAATATTGCATGTTTTTTTTTGAAAATTTTGTTTTTTTTTTGAAGCTAGCTGAATTTGCATTCGAAATCGGACCACGTTTATTTCGTCCATGGGCACGGAAAGCAAAATATTTTGTACTAATTGCTATTGCATGTACACAAATTGGTGGTTGTTGTGTTTATTATCTATTCATCGGTACAAATGTTAAAAAATTTCTAACACATTGTTTAGGCGAGGAAAATTGTCCATCAAAAGAGGTGTGTTTAGTAATGATTTTGCCCATTGTGATTGGTATTAATATGATACGTAATATACGTCGATTAACATTATTATCAACTATATCGAATGGTTTACAAATAGCCGGTATTGGAATTATTCTGTATAATATTTCAACCAAATCATGGCCAGAATTTCCCGATCGATTACCGAAAATTGGTGAAAAAATACCACAATTTTTTGTTTCATCATTATTCATTTATGAAGGTATTTCATTGGTGAGTATCTTGTATCTGTTTAACCCAAGTTGCGATGCGATTTGATTGCGTCCATTTCATTTCATTTTTTTTTGTCTTTTTTTCATGCAAAAGTCAATGAGCCTATACAAAGCAATCGATAAAACGGAAAATTTTTCCCGTCCATTCGGCGTATTAAATATTGGCCTATTGATTATTGGTGGATTTTATTTTACATTAGGTTTTATGGGCTATGCTTGTTATGGTTCAACGGTTGAAGAAACAATAACCGAAAATTTAGCCGGTAATCATATTGATCAAACAGTACAAATATTATATGCATTTGCTGTATTGTTTACCTATCCAATTATTCTCTATGTACCTATACAAATTTTATGGCCAATTTTGGAACGTAATTTACGAAAAAAATTTACCTTAAGCAATGGTATTTTGGCAAATCGTACAACCTTAATCATTGAATTGTCGTTTAGAATTGGATTAGTTTTGTTTACCTGTAAGTTCATTTCAAGATAATCTTATTGATTGATAACTGATTGAATCATTATTTAACACCTGTGTGTAACACATAGATATGTTAGCATCGATTGTACAAAAATTGGAACTTATCATATCATTGGTTGGTGCTATTACATCAAGTTCGATTGCCATTATCATTCCATCAACATTACATTTGATTACTTTTTACAAACAATCATCATCCAAATATCAAAAATATTGGCTTTTAATTAAAAATCTAATCATTATGTTGATTGGTTGGTCGGGTTTTTTTCTTGGTTCTTATTATAGCCTTTGTGATATTATTGGTTACAATCAACAACAACGGTGATGATGATGTCATCATCGTCGTTGTTGCACAATCATCAACCCCTTGACAATCTTTACGGTATTCTTTTTTTTTTGTTTCGTTTTCTGAATAAATTAAACAATCACATCTGTCGAAATCGATAGTTTTTCTATTTGCAAATAACCCTGCATGATCGATATCCGAATATATTTTTGTTTCATCAATGCCAGCACTACACATCAGTGATGTTTGATGTTTGTGATTGTGATGAATTCGAGTGGAAAAATTTTCGTGAATCGATAGCCTCCCTCCCCCTCCAACCAAAAAAAAAAACTGACCAAAAAAGATTTGATTATTTCAATGATGACTGAATGAATGAATGAATGATTCATACCGATTGTATTTAATTTTTGCCGTTTTCAACCCTTTACTCACTCACACTTACACTTACACTTACCCTTACACTCACACACATTGATTGATGTAAAGTTATTACCGAGAAAAAATAGCCAAAATGAAAACAAAAAAAAAAGTTAATTTCTTCAACTTTCAAGTAATAACTAAGTCCACCAAATTAATATCTAGCCAGCCAGCCAAAAAGTGAATGATATCCGATCAACAATGATGAACAACAGCAACGATGAACGAAAAAAACCTGAGCTTTTCAATAAGTTTAATAAGTTTTTCTGTTGTTGTTGAAGAGCAAAATAATAAGAAAATATCTTCGCAAAATCATCGTGGAGCATCAATATATTAAGTTTTCTGTTTTTCAGAAAATCCAATTCTCTTGATTCCAATTTCATTTTCTCTCTGAATGAAGATATAATAAAATTCTGCATTCGCAAGTATTGCATATTAGACAAACAAAACAAAACAAAACAAGAAAGAAAGGGTATTATTATTATTTACTTTGCTGAATT